GGCTACAACAAAACAATGCAAATCAAATTAAATGTAAGGCAGCAGAAAAAAAACCTTATTATATCTGCTCCAAATTACAAAAAATAAAAATTAAATTACATTAATTTCAAACAATAATAAACCAAATAAAACAAAAACAAAAATTCAGCTTCTCAAACAGTAACTCATACAAATACAAATTAAACAATTTCATATTTCTTTGACAATTTTGCTTTGATCATTTTTTTAAAGGTATTAATTGATCCCATGCTTTTATAATCATTTTCAAGATTATTCCATAGTCTTATACCTTTTACTGAAGTGCATCTGTCTTTCAAATTTGTTGTGATTTTTGGTTTAACAAACATTTGTAGTCCCTTCTAATTATAGCAGCTTTCCTTTTTAACAAAGTTTGATTGGATGTTTGAAGGTAACATACTTTTATGAGCTTTATAACTAGCCTGCAGAATATGATATTCAACCYACTCATAAAATTTTAATAATTTTAACTGATGAAACAATGTATTAGATGGGTGATAGTAATGCTTTCTTGTGATAATTCTTATGGCTCTTTTTTGTAAAATAAAAATAGGTTAAGTGATAGTTTTACATGCATTTCCCCAGACTTCTATACAATAAATCAAATGTGGAATGATAATTGCATTATTTAGTGTAAATAGTGCTTTATCATTAAATAACTACTTAACTTTATACAATACTGCAGTAGATTTTGCCATTTTTGTTCTTAAGTAATTTATATGGGGTCTCCACATCAGTTTTTCATATCTGTATAGTTTTTTTTATCAGTTTGGTGCTGGTGTGAAGAAGACCAGTTCATCATTTTCACCTGCTTCATGTTGTTAGCACCTCCTCTTAAGAGACACAAAATATAAACCAGTTGTCACATTCTCTCGAATAGATCCAGAACGGCGATGAGGACATCGACAAGTCGTACCTGGCGCCTCCCCAGCCCGTCAAACAGTTTCTGATCTCGCCACCTGCCTCGCCACCTGTGGGCTGGAGCCAGAGCGAAGACGCCACACCTGTCATCAACTACGACCTGCTGTGTGCTGTAGCTAAGCTAGGACCTGGTCAGTACCTGACGAACACGTGCATCACGTCAGCCAATAAAAATGAAAGGCCTAGCATGCCTTGAAGGAGTGCTTATCACCCACCACCTTTAATGTTAGAGATTTAAACTAAGATCATTATACGTTGCGAAGGGACGCAGCTTTACTCTTATTGGTCAAACCTTCTGAATAATGTGATGTCATTCGTTTTGTGAGACATTGCCTGACGCGACAATAACTGAGTTGCAGCTAACATCAAATAGTGGTGTTGTCCTGCTTTAATTGAGTTGACTCCAAATAATAATCAGTTGTAGATACACATCTAACATTTACTCTCTGCAAGTTTTAATAAGAAACATCAATTGGTTCATGAGATATTTTGCTAACACACAAACAGGGTTGACACATATTGCCAAAGTTTTTAGCAATAATATTGTGCAATGTGTCACGCTCAGAGTAGGCGTTGGATATGACCCACAGCTACAACCACACTAAAGCTAACTGAAGCCGTTTTTGTGTCGCCTAAGTTCAGTTAGCTGTGGCAGCCATCTTGAATTGGGTTGGCTCCAAAACTTAATCAGTCTTAATGAGGATTTTCTGAGAATTGCGATTAAAACATGTGCAGTGGTTCATGAGATATTTTGCTAACACTATATACGTGTCCAGATGATTGCAAATGCGGGGGGGGGGGGGGTGTAGTGATGATTTTTCATCTTTGAGCAGCGACCCAGACACAAACAGGAAATAACTTCCTGGACTTGGAGTGGCAGTAAGGACAGGATGTGTAGTGTACTGAAGCAATCAAGACAAAGTGGAGTGGTTTTTATTCAGGACTATACAGCATGCAAAGCAGCATTTTTCCATTATACTGTATTTATGCCTCCCTTTTTCCTAATTTTTAACAGTTTTTTTTAGCTCATGCTGACAAACTCTTTCAGAAACAGATATGTTTACAAGGGAGGAACCTGGCAGAGTAAACACGAGATGCATGCTGTTATCTCTGAAATTTAAAAGAACATTTACTGAGGTTTGAAGAGCAGCTGTGAATTACTGACATGTTGAGTTCATCTATGTGCAGTCGTCCAATACTGTTTCAGCAATTTTTCACACAAATCTTTTTATTACTCATTTGTAAGTGTGTAAGTGTTAATAAAGCATTATAGGGAACAGAGGTGTATAAAGTACTTGAAAGAAATAACTAAGTAAAAGTAAAATACCTTACCAGAAAATGACTTTTGTAAAAATGAATTTCACTGATAAGAAAAGTACTGAAGTAAAAATCATAAAACTGCATACAGTAACTAGTAAAGTAAAAGTAAAGGTACTTTTATACACATTCTAAAGACAGGGAAATTCAAACCTTTTGGGTCTGGGGACCCCTTACAAGGGGAAAAATTTCCAGGGACCCCCTCATAAAACCCATGCTGTTTTAAAAGATAATTTATTGTCATTTCAACCCCTAAATGTCATGGGAATATCTTTTTTATTTAGTTTATTATGTTTGTTTTATTAGTTCATTGTTCCCCATGCATTTTTAAAAATTAAAAACAAAATAACAATTTAGTGAAAATTTTTTGAAGACTCCCAATGCACCTCTGGGGGTTATGGGACCCTATTTGAGAACCTCTGCTCTAAGAAATGAATTGAACTGGTTCCACTGAACCGAGTTGAGGACTCAACTCTATTTAGTGAAACCAGTTTAACTTGTTTAAGTAAACTCAACTTTTCATGTTTTATGGTTCATAAACAACGCCTTTCATGATGACTTCTGGTCAAATTTAAATTTGTAACAAGGTGTTAAATTTAAAACTGAAGAATTAAAAGTGTAATTTGTTCTGTTATGAATGTAACGAAATAAAAGTAAAAGTTATGTGTAAAAAAAACTTAAACATGACTCAAGTACTGCAACAAAGTAAATGTACTTCCAGTACAAGTCCATAGGGAGTCACAGTGTAGCTCATGTATTAGATCAGTTGTAGAGTTTACATCAGGGAGTCAGAATGGGTCTGTGGTGCTGGTAAAGACTCAGCTCCTGTCTTGTTCACAAGCTTTAACCTTGTGACGACCTTTAAAAAAACGCTTGTGTCATGCCTGTTGTATGTTTCCATGACAGATGTGGGCACAGCCCTGCTGATGAGGTGGAAAAGTCTGTCCTCAGTCAAATGCTGTTTATCATCAGCACAAACACAACGACACTTCCCACATTCTCACAAACACGCAGCGTCCCGCTCGGAGGACCGCTTTCTGCTGTTGCCGTGGAAACACGGCGGCATCAGGAAATGGCTTTGTCCCTGGCCTCGCATCCAGCCATCCTGAAATCAGATTGGGCTCGGGGCCGTAGCGCAGCGCGCTGACTCCCCCTGTCAACTCCCTGCGGTAACAGCAAGGCTCCATTCAGCATCTGTCTCTGTGTTTGTGAAGCAGCTAACAGGCCAATTTCCTTCAGCCTGCCAGCTGTCTGAGCCCGGCGCCATGACAACTGACACACAATCTAGCAAAGTGTACACTTTCCATCAGAGTTCACTGACTTTGGACAAATAGCAGGACTATTTGTGGAAAACTGGCTTTGTTTTCTCTTTGCCTGAGCTTGAACAAACAATTATCTGAACTGTCAGCACTTCACGATACAAACAACCTCAACACAATAACGGAAACTTGTGTTTAGTCGATTATTTCTAAACTCCTTGGCAATAAATCATGTGCCACTGGAAAATCTCATTATTTCACATTAAATGGTGCCAAATTTGCTTGGAAAATGCATTTGTGAGTTGAGCAGCATCAAAAAAACGTATTTTAATTTATTGATTCTTGTTTAGTTGGCATTAACATTTAACAAACAGGAGCCTCAGTAGRATGTGGAAGAACCACAWACAGCCACAACTGCCTGTCCAACACGTTCTCACTCCCGACTCATCCCCATATTGWCGCTTGGTCAGGTACCATCTGCGTCCTGTTTTGTCACATTGGGTACCCTCCTCGCATCAATTATTCCAACCCATTCTCACTCCCAGGTCGTCACATATCGATGCTTTTCCAAGGTTCCCTCTGCGTCCAATTTTGACAGGTCGGGTAATAATAATAATAATACATTTTATTTGAAGGCGCCTTTCATGGCAGTCAAGGACACGGTACAATGTAAATACACTGCAATAAAACAAAAAGAATAAAGCAAAGAATAAAATAACAATAAAAAACATAGCTTACATAACAATTAACAAATAAAAACATTGTATAAAACAAAACATCCTACATAAAATAGGGTTAATGGGAGATGGTGATTAAACTGAATAAGCTTGTTTGAAGAGAAGAGTTTTAATTTGTGATTTAAAAAGGGAGACAGAAGGAGAGCTTTTGATGTCCGGTGGGAGAGAGTTCCAGAGGTGGGGTGCTGAGTAACTAAAAGCTCTTGAGCCCATAGTGGTCAGATGAGCTGGTGGTTGAGTGAGTTGGATGGAGGAGGAGGATCTGAGAGTGTAGGAAGGTGTGTTAATGTGGAGAAGTTCTGTGAGATACTGAGGGGCAAGGGGTACCCCCCTCACGTCAGTTATCGATGTGATGGGGCAGAATCCATTGTCATAATTTCAGAAAGTGTAGAAAATGCACAAAAACTAATTGTCCCAAACRCTAAAATTACCTTCATTCACTCTAGACATCCTGTCCCTGACCCTAGTACCTAAAATTAACCATCAACCCCGATCCCTAAAATTAACCATTTTTAGAAAGTGTAGGAAATTCACGTCAACTATGTGTTCCAAACCCTAAAATTACCTAATATTCACCCTAGACATCATATCCCTGACCCCACTACCTAAAATTAGCCATGAACCCTGATCTCTAACATTAACCACGGACCCCAACTCAAAGACCCCATATATTTTGCYTCCCAATGCGTCAAACCCGGACGCCGAGGGAACCCGGAAATGCCTGGTGCATCAGTAAGTGACGTGATGGGTGTACCCGACGCGTCAAAATAAGACGCAGAGAGAACCTTGGAAAAGKGTCAATATGTGACGAGTCGGGAGTGAGAATGTGTTAGTTATTCACGCCCACGGCTTTTCCGGGTTGCACCACGTAGGGGTCTTAGTGTTGGGGGTCTGTGGTTAATATGAGGGATCAGGATTAATGGGCTAATAGAAGTTAAATTTAGGGTCTGGGACAGTTAGTTTTCATGCATTTCCTACTCTTTTAAAAAATATGACAACGCACTCCTCCTCCTCCTRTGTCTTATCTCGTTAATAACTGATGCGAGGGGGGTACTTGACGCATCCAAAACTGGATGCAGACGGTACCTGACCAAGCGTCAATATTTGACGAGTTGGGAGTGAGAATMGGTTGGCCTGTCACCTCCTCCTCATTCTGTTTACCAGCTTGGTGTCACTGCTGTGGGATCCCATTCTTTACTCAGCATTTACTCGCAGTGGCTTTACGGAACAACCCTAAGATTAAAGGTATTAATCGGTTTGACACTGAACATAAAGTTTCCTTATACACTGATGATACTCTTCTTTATTTCTCAGATCCCTTGTCTAGTGTTCCTGAGTTACTTCTTTTACTTCAAAAGTTCGGAAACATATCTGGGTACAAGGTTAACCTTCAAAAAAGTGAATTGATGCCTGTGACCCCAATAGAAGAGCAGCATATAGGTCCGGTTCCTTTCAAAATTAGCTCTGCCAAATTTAAATACCTTGGTATTTGGATTACTCACAGTCACAAAGATCTTTATACAGCAAACGTTCTGTCTCTCCTGGTAAACCTTAAGAAGGACATCGCTATCCCTGCCTCTATAACTCAGTTATTGCAGTGGTGTTGGAAACTCTGGACCAAACAGTTTGCCCAAACTGATCCCACGGGTGTTTGATAGGGTTGAGGTCAGGATTACAGACAGGCTACACCAAATGTGTCAAACTCAAAGCCAAATCTGGTCCTCATTAACATTCTATCTGTCCCCAAAGGTAATACTTGTGTAGAAAAGTTTTATGATTTCTATACCATTGTCTACATGAGCACTGTTCTGTAGAGGTCATCCTCTAAGTTGACTGTACAATATTTATTGTCAAGAAGCATTATTACATAGAGAAGTCGTTGACCAAACTCAAATTACTTTGCGTTTTGTGGTATGTTTATTTTTAGCAACTCTTGTTCTCCCTCTTCAGGTGAAAAGTACGAGCTCCACGCAGGGACAGAGTCCACCCCCAGCGTGGTTGTCCACGTCTGCGAGAGCGAGACGGAGGAGGAGGAAGCAGTGCGGCCAAAGCAGCAGATTGTCCAGACCAGACGTCCCGACGGGGCCCCCAAGGTCTTCAACTAAAGGGGGACCATCTCGCCAGATCTGGAAGCGGCCCACACCGACCGCCATTTAAAAAAAACCTGCGACACACCTGCCCTCTCTCTCTCGTCTCTGCACTCACAGAGAGCGTTGATGCGCCTCATTTCAGTTCAACTCCAAGCAAAAACAAACAAACATTGCTCGAAGATGGTGTTTGTGGGGAGCGCGGCGACGGAATGAGGCGGCTTGAAAGGGAATGGATGAGAATTCACGCACACACACTCATCACATTCTGCGGACAGCGTTGGGGGAGTGGTTGGGCATGCTTTGCCTCCGACTCACTGAACCCCCCCCCCCCCCCTTCCTCCTCCTCCACCCCCCCACTTCTGGTTTCCAACAAGAGGGGTCAATTACCTGTCCCAACACAGGCACACCTGCCACATATCACACACGCTCAGCTCTCATTGCTGATCCCAGATACACGCTCGCTTGTCCGTTAGCCTTTTAGCTTTCCCGTCATGTGTACAATAATCTTCAGCTGAAAACGTGGAACACCTCAATATACAAACTTGCTTTTTCTTTTTTACAATAATTTGTGTTTTCACTTCTACATATATATATATATGCAAAATATATATATAAAAAATATGTAATATTTTTGTTTGTTTTTATATCTGCAGATTTGCTGTTTCAGCTTGCATCCAGATTGTGTGATGTTCTCATGCTTTTCTGCATGTATATACTGTATTACACACACAAGAAAAAAGCAGAAATACATACTAGCAAGTTAAATGAAGGTGGGTGGGGGGGAAACGCACCTATTTAACATCACACACAGCAGCAAGCGCCATGTGTGACCAACAAAGTTGCGGTGGTTGTTTTTCTTTTKCTGCTTTTTCTTTTTTAATCGAAGAAGTGTTTTGTTTGTTTTGTTCTTTTTTTCGCAGRGCTACTAGATGTGTATACATGTATTTAATAACCCAACACTTTTTGCATGCCTAGTTACTTGAGGGGATGAGCAGCTGAGGTGTTCTTTTTTTATTTTACTGTTTGTGATGACAAGGATGTGGTGTTGACGTAAGTGCATACATTCCCACGCAGAGTTCAAAGTGACGTCCATACTGGGAATAAAGGCTGAAAGGGGATTTTCGTAAGACTGACAGATGAGTATTTGTTGCTTTTGTCAAGATTTAATGGCTTGGAGACTACTCATCCCCATTTGTTTTCGATGATGTCATTTTCTGATTCCTTGTTGTGTTTTCACACTCATTATTTTGTTTGAGCAACCTTTTTGAATCACGTTRCTTATAAAACTGCTTGTTTTGCACTGAGGATCTCCCGATGTCTCTTAAGAAACGGTGGGGGCTCTTGATCGTAACCCTGCTGCGCACCAGATTATTGAGCTGCTTCTCGCCGCACATGGATGAGCTGTTAAAATATGCAGAAATATTATTTTGGATGTTGCAGCTTGCCTGAAAGCATTTCAGTGAGCTAAGAGGGAAGTTAGGTTGCCTCGTAAGATAGTAATTGAAATATTAACCAAAGTATTTGCAAATCATGCCCCTCCCCATAAAATGTGCTGGGGTTTTTTTTTCGTATAAATTTTTTTGGTTTAGAAAAACCTTCACCTACTTGTTTAACTTAATATTTAAATGTTTGATGCTTTGGTGTATCAGAGGTGACAATAAACTTATTTATGTCCATTAGGTGGCGTGAAATCTAAAAAATATCTTTTACATTAAAAAAGTCCTTTTGAGATGAAGTTGGATGCATCTTTTTCTGCTTTATTTTTACTCTAAAGTTGAATCACCTTGTAAGCCTTTTCACCAGCATATTGCAGTGAGTCAAATGCTTCACTTTCTTTTTGCATGCACGAACCTCTTAGGCCTTTTGGGATATAAAAGCATGTGATAATAAAAGGTGTTAACATGCAGTGCATTTAAAAATGAGGCAGATAAGACCACAGCTTTAAAAAAACAGATGTTTTTTTCTTGTCAACAAGTAAAATTGATCTTATTTTCTGAGAAAGATAAACAGCTGCTTTAAGAATCGTGTTGTGGAACTGGACTTTCTATTGGTGGAGCTGTGGAGAGTGATTAAAGAAGAAGCATCCAAGCTGATGCTGAGGAAGATTTTTGTTTGTATTTTACTCTGTGATCATGATGATTTAACATGGTGATGCATTTTGGTCACAGCTGAGAAGAAAGTGTATATTTATGTACATATGACAAGTGTATTTTTTTCTTTTTCTCTCTCTCTTGCTGAGGCCTGTCTCAGTGTGCAGTTTGTAATTTATAGTTGCTCTTGTTGAAATGGAAACAAACGACAACTAAACGAATCAAAATGTGCAACAAAAAATCCTAAAGATGCTCAATCAAAACCAACTGTCATTGTGTTGTGTTCAACATGGACTTGGTTTGACTGTGTTTGATTTTTGATTGATTTTTTTTCCCTGAGAAATGTCTGTTGAATATCTCAGTAATATTGTTAATACTGTCACTGTTGTACCGTTTCTGTTGAAAACTGAATATTGTGTCTTGTACTGTAGGAATCCAGAAAACAACGTAGCAAAGCAAGCAATAATTTACAGTTCTATGATACCAGTATTTGTATTTTACGTGTTCTGTACTTCTTTCTCAGACATGGTCTCTGTCTCTGGCAGCATCTGCTTCTATTTGTGTAGTAAAATAGTCATTTGTTTCACATGGGAAAATACATAAAGACGAATTCTTAAAAAAAGGAAAGTGTTACAGGTGTGTGTTTTCTCTGTGTAAATGCCAATTTATCATTTGCACTAGCTAAAAAAAGTAAAGGACAAATAACTATCCACTTCTGCATCATTTGGACTATTTTAGCTAATTATACAGTACAAATATTAAGTTAATTCAAGAAATTAATATGAATTTGAGGTATAACTTTTCTACTTTTCAAAATATTTTAACTATTTACAAATATTTTAAGTTGCTTTTTGTTCCTTTTGATTTAGTACTTGATTTATTTATTTTTTTAGCTACTGTTGTGCAACTTTTAACTTTTAGCAAGCTTTTAGGACTTTAGCTTCTAGCTACCCTTTTGATATTTTTAGCTAGCATTTGTTTCTTTAACCGTATTGCTCCTTGTAGCTAACGTTTTGCTACTTTCAGCTTTTAGCTCACTTTTTTCCACAAGCATTTTGCTTCTTTTAATTTTAGCTACTGTTCTGCTACTTTTAGCTTTTAGTTAGCCTTTTGCTAGTTTAACTTTTAGCTTGCTTTTGGTACTTTTAGCTTTTGACCAGCTTTTGATTTTTCTTTTAGCTTCCAAACTACTCATTTAAAGCTTTTAGTAAGCATTTTGAGCTTTAAGAGTTTAGCTACTGTTCTGCTACTTTAATGTCCTACTTTTAGAGGGCTTTTGATACTTTTAGCTTCCAGCTAGCCTTTTATAACTGTCAGCAAGCATTTTTTTTCAGTGTAGCCCCCTCTTCTTTAAAATAATTCCTTATGAACTTTTTTAAAATGACAGATAATCAACACCATTATTATTATTATTATTATTATTATTATTATTATCA